CTCTCAGCTCCCACGGCTCTCCTACCTACTGCCAACAAACACTTCGAAACACCACCATCACACTTCATTGACACCCAGCCCTACACACCTTCACGCTGGGCCCACCAAACTCTGGCCCCCAACCTATCTACCCACCTGGCCCAACACCTACAACAGGCAATCACACACCAGTCACGTTCACTCTACTCCTCCGGATCATCGCCATCTTCGGTACTGGCAGGTCCCTACATGCATACATCACATCCAGAACCACTGGACCCCTTCCCAAACTTTCTACAAGAGAGTGTTACCTAGATTCACTCCTTTATGTAATTCCACATATATATTTATTTATTTATTACGGTCCTGCTGTTTAAAAAAAACAGAGGAAGCTGTGGGTTCAAGGTTCAGGGCTCGGGAAGGGCGGCTTATAGTGTTTAGACTGTACTGTACCGGTATCCCTGAGGAACGATTGTGCCGCAGGCGGAAGGTGGGATGCTGAGCTAGCTACAGATAAGCAAGCCTACGCCTGATACCGTAGAACTCATGCTCATGGTGCAGCTCCAAAAATCATCGTAGCAGGAGCGGTAGCGTATGGTGAACTGAAAACCTGGACAAAAAAATTTAATATCCAAACTAGTGGGGGATCGTGATGGCAGTCAAGACCAAACAAAACGAGACACAAGAACACAGTGCGCAACATATCGAACGGTTGATCATTCCTCTGCCAGGTTTCTAGGAATAGCTAGATATTACATTCCAGCGATTCGTCCACAACGTTGCCATTTGCATTCTCAACATTTTCTTTGCCCAAGCTGTCCGTAGATGCCTCCGAAGTTGTCTCCCCAAGCCCGTCGGACGAAGTCTCCTTGGCATGTCGATTCACAACTGTTTGCATGATGCGAGTCTTTTCTTGCTTCTCAGAAAACTTGGACGGGGCTTCCATGATGGCTTCATTCATCTTCACCTTCCTCTCTTGCATGTCATAGATGTCAGAGTCCACCGTACCTTTGGCCACAAGTTTGATAATCTTCACAGGCTTTTTCTGTCCAATGCGGTGGCATCTTGATCAAGATAAAGGCGTGAGCGGCAGCAACACCAAGCATCATGTTCAACTCTTTGTGCACCTACCTGTCCTCCGCTTGCAAGTCCGAGAAAGGATTCATGTCGATATCGTGCATGATGCAGGTATCGGCTGGAATGTACATGAACCAATCAACGTGAGTAAAAGACACCGATGGAACACATAGCATCACATAGCATCATCAGGAAGTACCCACCTGATGTCAGATTGATGCCCATACCACAAGCTACGAGGACGTGATGTGAGGCTTCATGGTTCAAATGACTGGCATGCATTGCGGGATACATCAACACACTTACCTTTGGTGCTAAGCAGAAAGACATGGATGGACCCATCTGAATTGAATTGGTCAATCTTTTCCTGGCGTTCAGCCACGGCAGTCTGCCCATCCATCCTCATGTACTCGATTTCCATTTCTTCGAGGAGACAACCCAAGAGATCCAGGCACATGGTCCAAACGGAGAATACCTGGTAGAGTTGCATGACAAGAGTCAGGGTGACAGAAAAAAGCGAGATAGAGCTGGGACTTCGAAACCTCACTTACCAGAATCCGATGCCCGTCCTTGATTAGCTCTGGGAGCAGTTCTCGAAGTCTGACAAACTTTGCTGATGCAAACAGATCCTCCTTTGCAAGCAAATAACGGTCTAGGTCGGGTGCGCGATGCTTGTTTTGCTCCAAAAGATCCAGCGCTGTGAGATGGATGTCAAAGTCACCGAACGATTCGAGCTCTTTCGCAACTCGAATTCTTGTGCTTCCTTCACCTGGGAATGCTTTGAACTTGTAAAATGTGTCTGTCAGATGACTAATCTCCTGAGGAGACTTGTGTCGCGTTCGGAGGAGATGAGGATGATGTGCGGCCTTTCGAAGAGCTGTGAAGAGATGGTCACTTGCTCGGTTCGTCTTGTTCTTTTTGGCTTTGATGTGACTCGCAATGACATCGTTGTAGATTGTTCGGGCTTGATCTCCCAATTCGACCATTTCAACCTGATATGTTTTTGGCGGGATGATCTGACTAAGGACGTCTTTCTTTCGCCTCCGCAGCACAAATGGGGCAAAAAGTTGTTTGAGTTTTCGGTACGCAAACTCATGAGTGCTCTCTTTGTTTCCACCATTGGCTTCTTGCAAATTCACAAAGTGCTGCAGCATGCTCAATCCACCGTCCGAATCATGCTCATCAAACTCGCCCGTTTTCTGCGAGAAGAGCGGCATCAGGAAGCAAAGCAAAGCCATCAGTTCTTGCGGACTGTTTTGCACTGTAGTGGTGAAGCAACAGCGGAAGAGGTTAGCTAGGTTTTCATTTTGTTCCATCCACCTCCCACAGCTACCCAGCAGTGGCGTCCCTACCTGGTGTTCCAGTTAGCAAGAGTCGGTGACGCGTTCTGAATCGGTCCAGGTTCTTGTAGCGAAGTCCCTTTGCGTTTTTCAAAAGATGCCCTTCGTCGACAATCAGATAGTCAAACTTAATCCTTCCCAGAAAGGTTCGATCATCGCTGCTCTCTCTTTGAAAGTATGTAATGGAAGTGAGTACCACATCAACTTTTGGCGTCGCGCCCTTCTTGTTGATAAATGGACGCAGAATGCGTTTCAGTTCGCCTCGCTCTTCCGTGCTGCCGTGGTATTTGACAACATTCAAATCAGGAGCAAAGTTTTCAAACTCCCTGACCCAGTTGGAAACTACCGAGGCTGGGACTACAATCAGGTGAGGAATATGTGTGTCAGTGGGTGACAACTCTTTGTTGCTGGCTTTTGGCTTTTTTGCAGGCTGGGACTTTTTCTTTGGCTTTGGGCTTTCATCATCGTCATCATCCACGTCAATAACATCGCCATCGCTGTCATCATGGTCCGATAAATCGTCATCGTGCTTTCCAAGGTGTGGCTTTGTTACCAAGTCGGTTTGATCCCCCACTTGTAAAATCCCATTGTCCCTGCTATACTTCAACCAAGCCAAGAAGGCAATTGTTTGGCATGTCTTTCCCAAACCTGCATGATGTCACCCACATGGAACAATTAGTTATTATTGGAGGAATCGAACATTAGGAAATCCACAAAACGTGTGTTAGTCATTCTTACCCATTTCATCCGCCAGGACTCCATTGACGTTGGTTTGCTTTCCTTTCCCGCTGGTGACCGTGCACGTCATGGAATGAAGCATTGCAAGCCAATTGACACCCAGGAGCTGGTATTCCGCCAGCGTCACTTTGGGGAGGATCTTTTGCATCGTCTCGTTGGAGATCCACGAGTGGTTGGCATTGTTATTGTTGTTCTTTTTCTTGTTGCTGGATGCCCTTCCTATACTAGTCATGGCGAGGGCTCCATCCACAATCATCCCTTGCGGGACCTTCAAAGTTCCGTCCGCGCCGCTGTTGTCAGCGTTGTCGCCGTCATTATTGAGATCTGCTGCCCAGGACATCATGGTTTTCAAGACACTAGCACTAAGCTCGTTGGCAGTGGCGAGTACATTGCTGGCTTCTCGTGCCTCATCGTCGACATAGGCGTCTTGCTCGACGTCATCTTCATCGTCGTCGTCTTCCTCCTCCTCTTCTTCGGAAGATTCCATTAGTACAATGGGTTTCTTTTTCGTTTCCTTCTCCACATAGGCTTCATCGTCATCGTCGTCCGAGGAATCTGCCAAGTCGTCTACCTTTCTCTTTTTCTTGGGACTGTGTTTCTTCTTCTTTTTGTTGTTCTTGCCCAGTTTCTTGAGTCGTTTTTTGGGTTCCTTCAAGCTGGCTTGGATGGCCGCCTTGAGGGCCACGGCTTCTTCTTCCTCAATGAATTCTTCGTCTTCGGACCCGGGAATCCATTCGGACCCAGTGGATTGTCTCTTAGCTTTGGGAGACACCTCCTCGACATCACTGTCGCTGTCAATGGTGCGCTTTTTGGCAACACTCTTGTTCTTACTGGCAGAAGATTTTGCAGGTTTTCCCGGAGTGAGATCGTCATCATCATCATCATCCAAAATGGAGCCTCCATTTTTCTGTTTTCGTCTGGCTTCAAAATACTTGGATCGCTGATTGACAGGAGGAGAATCGATTTCTTCGTCGTCGGAATAATTGTCGCTGCCATTGTCTCGCTTGAGTCTTTTCTTCTTCTTTGCCACTTTTGTTTCCACAACTTCAATTTCACTATCAACATCACTACCACTGTCATCGCTTGTTGTTGGTTTTCGAGCATATCCATTTCTTCGAGCTTGTCGTTTGAGTTTGTCAGTTTGCTCTTTCATGGGTTTGACGGTGAATTTGGTTCTCTTGTTTTTGGTTGCGGTTTTGAAAAATGACGTTCCGTCTTCGTCTTCCGATTCTTCTTCTGACAAGACGACATCTTCCTCTTCTTCTTCCGACTCCTCGTCGTCGTCATGCAACGACACTTCGTCTTCGTCCTCGGAATCGGAGTCTGCCAAGAAGGATGCTCTGGATGCTTTTCTGGGTTTTGCTGCTGGTGCTTGTCGTTTGGGAGCCAATCCACGCCGCGATCGACGCATATTTTCGGCTTTTCGTTGCGCAATGGCAATGGCATTGTCATCGCGACCCTTCTTCTTGGTGGTCAGCCAACCCCCACCTTTGCCAGAACTCATGATATAAACAGAAAGAAAGCAAAAATAAATGGAACAAATAATTGAGCAGAGACAATATTATGTGAAGAAAGAGGTCCGGCCAATGATCGAGGTTTTGCCGTTGTTGTGGCTGGGCCCTTCACGATAATTGCCCTGCCTGCAACCGCACAAATGACGCTGACGATTTTTAGGGGGGATAAGGCACACGAGAGGGGGGAAAGAGGAGGAAAAAGAGAAGAGAGAGGATCTCTCAAGATTCCCGATTCTCATGATTCGACTACGTCAGCGACACCAAAGATATATACAAAAATGGGGCATAGGCATTCAATGGTCATTACCCTAATCAAACATGGGCATACCCCCCTCCCCACCAAGCATACGGACGCAAAAGAGACACAAAAGAGACCAAAACCAGGCCGATGCGGTATTGACTGTACTTATTGTTCTAGGATTCTGCCGACTTCGTTTCTCTCCTGGTTTGTACTTCTTTTTCCTGCGAAGAAAGTGTTTGAAATCCTCGTCTATTATAATTTAAATTACGAAACTACGAAACCTCGACAATGAACGTCGTGCGGTGGACGTCCTTTTCTTCTTGGGTTGTTGCGCCATCCTCTGTACCTACCACAGCAGAAAAACATTGTCTGTTGCGCGAGCATGGGGTACCATGGAGGAACTGTCATTAACGGATACATAAAAGGTTGGTGCATCATCGGTTGCATTATTGGTTGTTGTTGTTGTTGCTGTTGTTGTTGTTGCGTAATTAGTGGCAGCGATGGTGCTATCGGTGCTGCCGTTTGTTGTTGCAGGGTGGTTGGCTCTTGAACCACCATAGTATTATCAAGGTCGTTGGTTGTTGGCGATGGCGGAGATGCGCGCTTCTCGCCATTTTGAATTCCATTATGTAAGTGTACCGAACAACCATTGCACAAGCATCTGTCATGAATGTCATGCGATGGCTTGGTCTCATTCATCCAACTCAAATATTCAGAGAAGAAGCGTTCGCCAGTGTCTTGACCAAGCTTCTCCACATGCAAAAATGGTATTTGTTGTGCACCGGCAGCAACTGCTAGTTGATTAACCCAAGCGAGCTCCGTGTGGTTGAAAAATGGTACAACGGACTCCCATGCCGTCGGCATTTTCTTCCTTATCGCCAGACTCGCTTCACTCATAGGTGTTCTTGCTAGTCGCAGCCTGTGCCTCACTGAGATATTGAACCGTGCTGTTCCTGTCAAGTTGAGGTTATCTGCCAAGGTGCTCCTCATGCCACAATTTGCGAAGTGGGCCAAGAGCAAATGAAAAGACTCCAGTCCAGACTCACCTCGCCTCGAGAGGTACTCATTGAGACCATGTGGCGAATTTGGGTTGGGTGGTATTGTCTCATACATTTCAGCCAATGGTAGAGGATCCTGCAAGTGTTGAGCCTTGTCTTTGCAGTTCAACAGGGCAACCTTGGTTTCGCTTGTGAATAGAGGCTGCTTGGTCCTTGGATCTAACACTCCTCCGGCAGGAACAGAATCAGGAGAAGAAGCCGTGCACTTGAAGCGATGGAACCAATCATCAAGCATAGATCTCATTGACTCAGGAGGGCGTATCTCTTTCCGTAAGTACTTGCTGTATCTTTGTCGGAATGTGTGGGTTCCTTTCATTTCTAATATATCGTCATCGGTGTATTTGGTTCCAGAGCTTGACAGCGTCCCGGACTTCAACGCTGTAAGGAGTGCCTCATAGTCATCTTTTTGGTAGACATACACAGCATTCAAGACCTGGTTCACTGCACGGAAGTAATCAGCATGTCGCTTTCGCAGTGTTTTGATGATACGCTGCACAAAGTGGAAAAGACCCAGCCTTCCGGTAATGTCGTCGCCAAGAATAAGAGACCAATATTGACTCTTACACGGCCATGTATCACTGTACATCACCTTTGGCTTGAATTCTTTTCTGCAAGACAGTTCTTGAATGGCGGCATGAGAAAAGTCAAGCGTTTTGGTTGAGGGAACAAGCACCGCACAAGCGATCTCTCCAGTCTCAGTCGCACAGGTCCACATTGCCTCTGCACCAAGCTTCTTTTTGTTGAAATAGTTCTTGACCACTTCATGAGTATGATCCTGTGCAAAAACGGAATGACAATTGACACTCTGTATCTCTCTTGTGTGCCGGTCATGATCACTGATGCCCCAAGGAGTATTACTATTCCTTGACGCTTCGTCATAAAGGTCTCTGATGGTATCACCGAGGGGTGGATAGGAGCGAATGTATTGCCCATCTTTTTCCAAGTAACGTTGGACGCTGTTAGTTGCTGGCTCATTCCTCACTGGTTCATCCACCGGATCTTTGTTGAGACCGATGTAAGAATAGTAAGACGCAGCTTTATCAAGATACGCCCTGTTCAATGCGTTGTACAGTAGCCGACTGCAGAGTTCCCCATTGCCATAAGTTGGAAGGAGCAAGTCAAAGACTTCTGTCGCACTTCGTGAAAGGTGGCTGTTCTTTGGCAATGCGTATCTTGTGTCTACGGGGTAGTCCAACGCCGCATATGACGGCAAACGGCATAAGATTGCACTGTCGTTGGCATTGTATCGAGCCTTGCAGTGAGGGCATTTCATTGACATAATCATGCACCAAATAGGTGGTCGGTCGAGTTGAAATATGGGGAATAGAATTTTGTTGTGGGAAAAGTTTGTCCTGGTGTTGCGAAGGCATCCAACCTCACAGTTTGGGCAAGTTATATCCAATCCATACACCCTCTTCCAATCTACAAGAAGGAGCTTTTGTCCCATAATACTGTGATAAAACGGATCTGTGCACTGCTGAACCGTCGGCACTGTCATTGTGATGCCGCAAAAATAGGATGCCATGAGCCCCGCATTATTTGGTTTGTTGATAATCTTGTCAACAACAATACCTGCAAGCGCAATCATAGCCAATGGAGCTTTGTTTTTTGCGTGTTGGTTACAAAAATCATTGTTCGGGACCTTTTCCTTTACAGCCTCGCAAAGATCCATTGCCGTCACTGTACAGGTGGTCGTGGTTGCACTCATGGCCGACGTTTTGTTGGTTGTTGTTGCTGCTGCTGCTGCTGCTGCTGTTGTTGTCGAAGTTCGCGCAACCCGAGATCTAAAGAAATCCCTACCACTATTCAAGTGTGAAGCAGAGTATCTAATTGGGTCGGAAAAGTGTCTTCTCAACCTCCTGTCCTCCGCTTGACTATCCAGTGTGGCTTGTGAAGTGACACCTTTCGTTCGTCGGTTATTGGTACAAAGTTTGTGATGCGATCTATGTGGCTGCCGAAGACCTAAGAATTTTGCTTTACAGATTACACAATCTCTAATAGAATCAAAAGCTCTTTCGCCCTCCAGTGTTAGTTGATCGCCTTTCCTCAAACGTTTGTTCCCTCTGTTTTGCTGTTGAAGATTGTGCGTTCTCTTTTCTTGGGATACCCTCCGCTGACTCTGTTGTCCCATGTTGTTGTTGGTTTGTGTGGCTGCTGCATCCTGCATCATCCCCGTTGCTGTCGCTGTCGCTGTCGCTGTCGCTGTCGCCATTCCATTGCTGTTATCCTCCGCCATTGTTCGTTCTATGACTCTAGAGACTTATATTCAACAATGCCGTTGGTGGATGGAATCCAGTTTGTTTTCTTGCTTGTGTAATGGAAACGAGAGATCTTGCTGCCATCCGATTCCTACACGATGTAAAGTTGACATCAGCAATGCAGTCTTATTCGTTAAACAGAAGGGTGTCTCTTCCATTGCCGCGGTACCCCTTAGCCAATCACATATGTGCCTACTTTCGCACTTTCCCTTGCTGACACAGAAAACTAACTTTGAAGCCAGCGAGCTGGTATTTCAAGCCGCACACTCCATCAATCTTTTCAAAACTATCCGATGACCAACGGAAGCCACTCATCAGTCTCCACAATCGCAATAACCAAGCATCCCAACGCCGCTGTTGTTCATATTGGATTGCTTCATCAGTTGTATTAGCTTGCTTCATCCATCACATCGACGCTACCGGTACAGAGTAGAGTAGAAGAGAAGAGAATCTTCGCTGCAGCAGTCGAGTTTGTTAGATCCACGTCCCACTGGCACGTCTATAGATAGATACCACCGATCATCGGTTCCTTCCTTCTACCCGTCATTACAAAGACCACCAGAGTACTGTCGCCCTATTTTCAAGCCATTATTATCATCATCTGTGATTTCTCACCTTTGATACTGTACCATGGGTGTGCCAAAGGTACGTGCGATACCCTTTATACTCTTGTCTTGTCTTCCACTTTTTCTCAAGATAGATCCCCTTTGTGACACCTACTCACCTTCTATTATTATTATGCTATCATACTATGTAGTTCTACCGTTGGATCAGCGAACGCTACCCCAAAATCAATGACATTGTCTCGGACTCGGCGCTTTTGCCAGAGTTTGATCATCTTTACTTGGATATGAATGGAATCATTCATGGGTGTACGCATCCTTCTGATAGAGACATTTCAGATGTCATTAGTGAAAGGGATATGATGTTAGGAATCATGCATTGTGAGTTTATACATTATACCAACCAACCAACAATAACAGCATGGTTTATACCTGCATGATCTGATCCTGAAGAGAATCTCACGTTGTCTCTGTCTCTTTATACCCATCCATCTCCTGCCATTTATTTTGCACTTGTATTACCCACCAATCTACTGTCTTCTATGATCAGACTTGGATCGCATCATTACGCAAATCGTAAAGCCTAAAGTGTCCGTCTACATGGCCATTGACGGGGTGGCTCCAAGAGCCAAACTCAATCAACAACGGTCAAGGAGGTTCCGTTCTGCCAAAGACATGCATGAAGCTACCAAAGACTTGCCCAGAGATGAAAATGACCAAAAGAAGGAAGTTTTCGATTCCAATTGTATCACTCCCGGAACAGAATTCCTTGCATCTGTATCGGAATGCATCAAATACTTTATTCGCAAAAAAATCAAAGAAGATCCGCTCTGGCACAATCTAAAGGTCGTCTTTTCTGGACACGACGTCCCCGGAGAAGGAGAGCACAAGATTATGCAACACATTCGGGACATGAAGGCACAGCCTCACTACCAGCCCAATACGCGACATTGCATCTATGGTCAGGATGCCGACTTGATCATGTTGGGATTGGTCACGCACGAACCACATTTTACCATTCTACGAGAAGTCGTCGACTTTAACTTTGCACGAAACAAAGCCAATGCACTCAAGGCCGTCAAAAAGTTTACCAAAGAATCCGACTTTCAGCTCTTGCATTTGTCCGTCTTGCGAGAGTACCTGCGAATGGAGTTTTGTCATCAAGCCCCCGCGGTGGATCTGGAACATGCTGTGGATGATTTTGTCTTTATGACATTTCTCGTGGGAAACGATTTCTTGCCCCACATGCCGGCACTGGATATTGGTGATGGAGCTTTTGATCTATTGTTCAACATTTACAAAGACCAACGAACCTCATGGGGTGACGGGCAGTATTTGACAGAAGCGGGCAGTATCAGTGACCCGGCGCGTCTGGAACGGTTCATTGCGGCCATTGGAGCGGAAGAAACAGCCATTCTCGAGAAACGAGAAGAAGGTGACGCCGAGTTTGTCAAGAAGAAGAGACAGTGGGATCGCAGGGATGGGAGACCCCAGGGACCGACAGACGAAGAACTTGCCATGAAAGAGGCCGAGAAGCAAGGAGACTACCAATCCATGATTGATGCCATGATGGCAACCAAAGGCGACGCAACATTTGTGGACGGTTGGACTCCGCCTCGTCCAGGCCAGAAGGATTTCAAGGGCCGATACTACTACGAAAAAATGAAAATGAAGCCAATCGATATTCAGGAACACATGGCGCTCCGACAGTCTTACATGGAGGGATTGGTTTGGTGCCTCGCTTATTACTACAGGGGGTGCATCTCTTGGGGGTGGTTTTATCCCTACCACTACGGTACGTCGAATGATGAATCGAATCTGTGTTGTGTTGTGTAGAGCTCGTTCGGATTCAATCAAGTCTGACAATACCCTGTTCTCCTAACTGATGAATCGACTCGAAGGTCCCATGTTAAGTGACTTGAGAAGTCTACCCGAGATCTTCTCAAAGATTAACTTTGAGCTGGGAATGCCGTTGACTCCTTTTCAGCAGCTCATGGGTTGCCTTCCACCAGGTTCTTGTACCTTGGTGCCGCCTTTGTATCGCAAGCTGATGATGGAGGCGACGTCACCCATCATACAGTTTTATCCTGCTGATTTTCAAGTGGATATGAACGGGAAAAGGTGCGAATGAACGCTCAATAGACTCGACTCGTGTGGACCTTGCTGTTTGTCTCACCGCCTTCGTCTAACTATGTCGCTTAGAAATCCATGGGAAGGCGTCAATCTACTACCTTTTATTGAAGTAAATCTGTTGAAGTCAACAATCGCAGAGCAATGCCCTGATGAACAGCTTTCGCCCATTGAGCGCAAGCGAAACAGTCTTGGGCATAACTACTGTTACACTTACGACCTGACATGCACCGACACCGTTCCGTCCGCCAATCCTCAGATCGGACTTCCGGACATCGTGCAATGTAACTCCACCGTCAGCACCTTCGTCGAACCACTTGAGAGCTCTACCACATTCATGCCAAAGCTTTTGCCAGGAACACAAATTCCATTCCCTGGGTTCCCCTCGTTGAACGTGCTTCCAATCGCGTCATACGAACTCATCGAAATCAAACTGAATTGCTTTGGAAGTGGATCAAAGTACCCCACCATGCTGATTAAGTTGCACGACATGCCCCAATTGCCTCCTCTCGAAACCCTAGCTCCAAATGTTTTGGGTAAATCGGTCTTTGTGAATTGGCCCATGATGCATGAAGCAAAGGTGGTCGCCATATCCAACGCTACGGGGGAAATTCGAGTGGGCAAACAGCAACCCAAGACTAGGGTATTCAACAAGGTCGAAGCAGACCGGTGGGCAAGTGATTCACAAATCATGTTCGAACGATATTTCATAGGAAACGGCATTCCTGGAGCCGGCGGTGTCCAAGTCGGCCCTATCAATCTACGCCTGAAGGTCCTTCCACTGCAAGGAATGAAAACCAACCTAACAAATGGAGCGACCAAGAAGCTGTTTGGCACTACTGAAGCCGACATTCCGATGCAGCTGGCGCTGTGGCAGGCACCAGCCCCTGATCCTCGCTTCATCGAAAGGGGGCCAATGACGCTGAACGATAGATTTGCCGTCAATAGCAAGGTGGTCTTGACCAAGGGGAAGCATCGAGGGTGCAGCGGCGTTGTTGTAGGAATTGTGGATAAGAAAACTGTCGGGGTGAAGGTTCAGATAATCCCTCCTGAACTCCCGTTCGGTCTGGCCATCGCGCAGTCTGTCCAGGAATCGAACATTTCATCGGTCGACGCCTCAAGAATTCTAAAACTTCACCCAGGTCTCTTTGGCAAGATCACCGGAAGCTTGTTGTTCGAACCCGGCCGATACGATCTTGGTCTGAATTTGAAATCTGCGGATGGGATGTGTGTGGTTGGTTACACGCGAAAAAAGCCAGGAAAGACTAACGGAAGGGGAACCAACGCTTGGGTAGCAGGAGATTCCGTGCTTGTGGTCGGAAGCGAAGCAGCCGAGAGCGGTAGCGAAGAGCAGGAACGAGTCATTTGGGAATACACGCCAAAGGCTGTCCGCCTCGTCAATGCATATCGACAAAAGTTCCCCCAGTTGTTCAACGCCATTTCGAAGCTGCCAAACGAAAGGAAATACGATGCAACAACTACGTTTGGTCCGAACGGGGAAGCGTGGCTGCCGGTGATCAGAGAATGGCTGAACAACATCGAAACAGCCAAGATGCCGAGAACACCCGTTTCTACGGATTCTATGTCACCTGAAGCAATTGCCGCGGTCGAAAGGGCTGCGGAAGTGAGGACACTGGCGCTGAAGAAACGTGGTTACCCACACGAAGTCATGTTGAAGGTTCCAGGCAGTGCTCTGTACCGAGAAGGAATGATCGGTCCAACTGACGTTTTGCAAGCCAGCGACTTCAACAAGAACGAAGCCCCAGAGCTTGGCGACCGAATTGTGAACTTCTGTGCAATGGGCATTCCGTTTGGCGCAAGAGGATCAGTTGTTGGAATCCACGAGGCTGCTACAACTGGTTGTGTCGAAGTTGTCATGGACGAAGAGTTTATTGGCGGGACCACGCTTCAAGGATCGTGCTCAAATTTTCGAGGCAAGCTGTGCGTGTGGGCGCATCTATTGAAGGTCACGCCCGAAAATAGCAAAGCGTTGGTCAACAAACTTGTTCCAAAGCAAGCTGGGGCAAGTGGGTACGAGAAAATTATCGCGAGCGTCGAGAAAGATTCTCTAGGTGGAAAGGGTGCAGCACCCGCTGCAGCGTGGAAGCCGCAAAATGGGAGCCCGGTGCCTCAGCCGAAAGCTAACAATCAAACAGCACAACAAAACAACGAACCGGCACAAAACAAACCGAAAAAGAAGGGGGACGAACGAGCGTTGACTCCCCCAAAGAAAGCACAAGCAGCCAGAACCGAGGGGATACAACAAAGGAACAATCGTCCGGCATCACGCCAAGCTGCGCGTGCTGGATCCTCGGGAAGGGCCGACTCTGCGGGCCGTGGTAAGCAAGGGGGTTACAAGGAAGCTCGTGGCCCGAATTCGAAAGGCGTTGGCTTCAAGGGCCCCGGGAAGCGTGGTCCTACGGCTGGACTTGCTAGGTGGACGAAGTTCGTGAGTACCAATGGTCAGAAACAGCCCCAGAAGCAGGGTGCACAGGCAAACGGTGCTGCACCTGCGAAGACCGCCGGCGAAAAGACTCAAGAGTTGAAAGCTATACTCGGATTCAATATGTCTGCTCCAGCACCCGTTTCGGTTCCAACCGCCTCGGCAGCGACAGCTTCGACTGCGGCGGATCTGAAAGCTTTGTTGGGTGTGGGAAAGCCTGCTGCTCCGTCTGCGGAAGGAATCCCGTTGTCTCAGATCCCCGACCCACCGATGCCTCCACCAGAAATGATGGCGCCTCCAGCACCTGCTCCACAGCAACCGCCTCAGCCGCCACCAACTGCATCGGCTGCTGACAAGCTTTTTGCCATGATGAAGGCAAAGCAACCTCAGATGCAACCCGGACCAATGTACCCAGCACCACCGCCGCCATCATCGTTCAATTTCACCTACGTCGACGAAGAAGGGAAAGCCAACATGCCCCCAGGCCAAGTGCCTCCGACCCACAGGCATCCACAGATGATGCACTACAATACTGTTCCTATGCACAATCAAGTTCCTATGCATCCATTCCCGGGTAACAGCTACAACTACGGATACCCTGTTCCGCCACCTGTTCACATGATGCCACCGCCTCCTCCACAGATGCATTCACCACCCTCCAATCCGCCAGCAATGACAGGACCCTCGGAAGTGGATTTCCCCCCTCTGGGTGCTCCTGCTGCAACGGCCAAAGCCGGAAAGCCAGCAGTGGAGACGACTGCTGCACCTGCGCCATCAACCATGGTTCCAGCAGTGATTGCCTCCAAGTCCAAAAAATAGATGCGCAATCCGAGTGAGGCGGTATTTTAAAAAGCAGCAACCGGGCCAAAGCGGCAGCAACCTACTTCGTACATGTAGTTTTATTAAGACAAGTCTAAGCTTCATCTCTTTGGGGTCCCTTTCTTTCTGTCATTTACCGTCAACTTTAACTATCTACCGGTACTAGATCCTCCTGCTAGCTAGCTTGGATCATTGTTGGCAGCTGCTGAGAAAAGAATTCTTCAAGGCGATTGAATTTGTGGGCTCTTTTTCCCTTCATCGGTTGTTTCAAGGGCCAGAATCTCTACTTGGACATCCAGCAGTTGGATGAGTTTGAGTAGAGGAGGGTTGCCACCCAGCAGTTCAATATCCTTGACAATGTCGTCCTTGAGACTGACGCATTTTGTTCGCGTGTATGCCATGCTCCCTGATTCCTTCATGAGTCCCTGTGCATACCGCTTGACATCCACGTCGTGTGTGCGTTGTTTCAAAATGTTAATCAATCGTGTATCTCCTGGATTGTTGCGAATGTGATGAATAATAGGAAAACTAAATTTTCCTTCTGTCAAATCCTCGCAAAAGCTCTTGGACTTCATGTATTCTTCATCCGCTAAATTGATAAAGTCATCTCGAATTTGGAAATACATGGCCAAGTTATCTACCAGAGTGGTGTAGTTGACTTGTTTGTTGGTCGTGGCAAAGGATTGCATCAATCCGACCGAGAGACGAAACAGTCCTCCCGTTTTGTCCTTTACCATCTCGAGGTATTCGTCTTCTGTGGGACACTGGGCACTGTCTCTCCACTTGAGTGTATTGTTGATTGATTGTTTAGTTGGGTGCGAATCGAATCGAAAACGTGAAACTCAATGAGAGATTGTCTGGACGGCACATCACACTCTCTATTCGATTTCTCACTTACCGCAATGTCATGGCCCTGACCACGATGCAGATTCAACAACTCTCCCACAAACACCTAAAGTCAGCAAAAAGAGAAAAAGAAAGCAGTTAGATTAGAGCACACGATCGAACCATTGCCTAATTCCCACGCGCTTTATTATATATCCACAAGAAATGATTGTATTGTTATCATTCTGCTCACCTTCATTGCCTCTGGATTTTCCCAGGCATGACACTTTTCCAGTGCTAAAAAGAAGACGTAGTTGGCACAGTTGATGACAGTGGGTACCCCAAAAATAGTATGAGCCACGGGGATTCCTCTCCTTAGTTTGCTATTGTCCTCAATATCATCAATGAGAAGAGATGAATTGTGCAAATCCCCAATGACGTCCTATTTTAAAATCAAAAAAGAAGAAGAACGATGGATAAATCAATCAGGAAATATAGGTGACGCAGATCGATATCCAAATCATTTTTTAATAACACACACTCACCTTGATACCCTTGAGAACCTCTTCGGATGAAATATTGAACCATAGCTGAAAGCAGTCAATCAGTTTTCCTCTCACATCTTTGCCTGGCATGGAATTGATGTATCGGAAACTTTCCAGCAATGCTTTGTCTGGTTTGTGCGGCAGCAATCCCTCCGTGTGGCTCGTTTCGTGGGTGGGAGCGTTTTCTTCTTGGTTGGGTACTTCTTCCGCAGACTTGGCTGCTACCACTACTGTTTCTTCTTGCGTTTCCTTTTCTTCCGTCATGGTTGCTTTTAATTAAAAAGTTCTGTTTTTTCGTGGACAAATAATAATGTTTGATGTATGTATTGAAGGTTGCGTTTGTGGCAAGAAGGTCGATGGAATGGGTAGCGATTAAAAAGAGCAAGACTCAATCAGAGTGGGAAACTCGACTCAGCTATTAGAATGAAATAAAGTCAAAGCAACGAATCAAGAAGAGCCCAAATGGATTGAATCGTTCACCACAGCACCGCAGCAGACAGTTGGGATACAGCAACAATAACGGTGTCCTACGTCCTACGGTAGATAGATGTGATGGCTATCCGCACAAAGCATTGCAAGCATTGGTTGAAGATCTTGCCTCCAATGACAGCCGTCCAATGAAGATTCTTCTCCATTCATTTCTAAAGAACAAGACGCGTCATCAAGCCCGCGTGAGCTGTATGAGCAACAGAATCCGACCAGAACCATACCCTATCTTTCATGAAGCAAAGATTCTTCATCAGTTGTCAAGAAAGCCTTGGACTGATCGAGCCGCTATGGTACCGGTACCGTCATATGTATGAAGGGCTGCAACTAATATAACTGTAATAATCACTAATGGAGGGAGATGATATCTGTTGTGTCGTTCTGCTTCAGGATGGGATACCATCGACATCCCTTCCATCGCTGACACTTCCAAGAACGGCAACCATTGCTCAGTGGAAAGAAGCCATTCGGAAACAAGGCGCCGATCTTGCCCTGGACATTCCGGTCGATTCTCAGAGACTGTTTCTCGATCCACACGGTCAAAACGTATACGCGGAAGATGATACAACTGCCATCGAATCATTCACTGCTTTATTGCGTCGACGAGTTTTCAAGGACCCCACGTCGGAACACGAGTTGTGGGCCTACCTCTTTTATGAACAGGTTCCGGTTGTCGTGTACACACAGGCAACGACTTTGGAAAACAATCGGAGGGAATGGCAATCTCACCAGTTTAGGATGCATCGATGTGCCTTTGTGGAAGAGCTTCATGATAGGATCGAAGAGAGGCTATGCGTTCCTAAACACAAGCAAATGCTGTACTGGAAGACAAGGCTTTTAAAACCAGAAAAGCGCGAATACTCCTATGTTCAAGACTCTGGATACTTCTCGTTCAAAAAGACCACACTCAAGGACTACGTCAAGGATCACGAAGAACGAGTCTTTTATTTGATGCCCTTTACCGCTACAATCAACACCATGACAGGCGCAAGGATCCAAATTGGGTATCAGACTGTATCAGATAACCTCCAGGACCTGCGCAGGAGATTGGCAGAGGAAGGCTTTGACATTGACGAGAACGGAGCTCCTGTCAAGATCCCTCTGGAGGAGCAACAACTCTTTCTTCGTGGGACCAGACTCGCCAACGACGACAACATGCCCATGGAGGAACTCCAACAGAAGAGTCAATTGAGTGAAGGAGCACCACTGGTATTACACCTGGTGCAATCTCGCCAGACACATGGCTTTGAAATGTGCTTGGACTACAAAGAAAAGTTCTGTCGCATACACAAGGCTGAATACAGAGCAATCACCCTCCAACAACTCCATGCTCTCGCATGCGAGGTGACCGTTCGTTGCTGCAGAGAAGCTTGGAAGAGCACGAACACTGGCAAACCACTCCAACCAGAAGATGTCACCTTGTACGACCTTGTCCACTATGTTGTGTATCCTTCAACAACGAAACACAAGTGCAGCTATGTTGAGCTTGTTGCCAGCGAGCCTCAGAAGCCACGGTGGCTTGCCTCTCATTGGTGGGGAGGCACCTTTTTTCATCTCGTCTCTTGCCTAACTCGTCATGCGCTGGATCGTGACATGAAGATTGATGATCCTACCGCATGCTACTGGATATGCGCCTTTGCAATGAATCAACACAATCTGGAGGAAGAACTGAACACTTCAGAGCCTCAAGATCCCAAAAGCTATCTCCAGAACAGCCCATTTTATCGAGCAATCCAACTTGCAGAAGGGACTGTGTCGATACTGGATACGCAGGCAACTTGTTATAGTCGGATTTGGTGTGCATTTGAAATATCGATAGCCACGGACCGTGAGAACCATCTATATGACATTTACACGGTCACAGGTGGCCCAAACTCCAGAGGAGTTGGCCTTGCGGATGCCACCGAGCATCGTGATTGGTGGTCCCTTCAGAAACAGCTCAGACGTCAACAAGACTTTCCGCTTGCAATTTGCCAATCTGGATTGCATGTAAGGCTAGAGTCAGCCGAAGCATCAGTGGCCGAAGACAAAAGCCGAATCTTGCAATACCTATGCATGAGAGGGCAATCAGGAGGTTCAAGTGTCTGGTCAACGAGCGCCTCTGATCCTCCTTCCACACATCCTGCTTTCGATATGGTGAATGCTCGACTGCACTGCAAATTTGCAATCTCAACTTACCGGTATGCACTTGACCAAGGCATTGACCTGGAATGTTACCGATCAGCATTATCCAATAACCGAGAGCTTCGCAGTCTGTCCATGTCCTTTGCTGGCTGCCTACCTTTCAAGCAAGAGGCACTCCATTTTGTTGCTTCGTTGCCTTCTCAGTTACTTCAAAAGTTGGAATTGGACTACTCCGAGATTGGCTTTGAGACTGCTGATCAGTTTGCATTGGGGTTGGGCGATCTGTCTGCCCTGAAAACGTTCATATTGGTAATTCGTTCCAAGAAAGGGAGCAAATATAAGTGCTCAAAATGTCTGTTTCAAGAGTTGGCGAGAATATGCAGTTTGATGGAGCTGGATTTGGATCTTGAAGGGTGCGACAATCAACACACAATTGACGACTTGGCATTGCTTTCCAATTTGAGCAGTCTTCGTCTGAGACTGACTCATCCATCCAATCTCCAGTTAATCTCTCGTATGGCGTCGCTAGAGACTTTGCATTTGCAGTTGGAAGCACTGGACACTCTCGAAACCATTGACTCTTTGGGAAGGGCGATGACGGGACTCATCGAAATGCACCTTCAACTGAAGTATTGCAACAATCTGAATTCTCTTCAAGGCCTGGCGTCGTTATCCACACTGAAGCTGAGGAGGCTTGACTTCAAGCTGGATTTGTGTGGTAGCAAAATCAAAACACTGCATGGATTGGAGCAACTCCCTAGCAATCTGCATCATTTTGGCTTGTCCCTTAAAGACGAATGGTATTACAACAGACCTCTGGCCATGGATGATCTGGCATCAGCACTTGGCACCCAACCAGATCTGCAGTCCTTGTATTTAGACTTTCGAGAATGCAACTTGCCATGCCTGGAGCCTTTGGGCGAATTGCTCTCCAGGCCAAGCAGCAAGGTAGCTGACTTGACAGTGTTGATTCTGTCTTGTTCGGGGAAGGGCGCTTCCTTCAAACGAGTTCAAAGTTTTTGGCGGAGAGTAGCAAGGAATTCATCGAATATTCAACAACTGAAGCTGTGGTTTCTGGATAACCTGGGGACCTCGTTTTCAGCCCAAACTGTGGAAACCCTCCGCAATCAGCTGCGAAAATGGGCAAGTCAGGAAGTAAAAGAAGCATTGAGCAAGAAGATCCCTTTGGTGTCATGGGACAGAATTATTCGCTAACCAATGCTTCGCCCCCCTTCTAAGCTCCTATAAAATTCGTCTCCAAAGCTGGTTTCTACTAGTTTTTGTGCGACCGCATTCCGTCACAAAAAAGCTAATGGTGGGCTTGGACGCCATTGCAATCTACAACCATTTGCTTTTTCGTTTGATGTTATTGTTCGCTTTTGTGCCACCAGCCAAGGCTATGATGTAGTTTGGGTGTTCTTTGCTCCTGAGTGGCAAATAGCAAAGTCCGACCACAAACTGTTTTCGGCAACCGACCAAGGCTCGGCCACTTTGCCGCCACGGCACCGCCCCATTTTCGGTCCACTGCTGATTGATTGAAAGCCGACCAAAGTATGAAATATCTACTGGTACACATCCTTGTCTGTTTCCATCGGAATGTCTTGCTTGGGTCCCGGCATTGGGTTTCCTTCCGTGTCGAATTCCACATCATCTAGTCCCCATTGGGAGAATTCCGCCGGCAGCAGTGTTCGATCCCGTACCGCCCGGATAAACTCGGGTGCCGATGGATTCCCCATGACGGCCTTGCCGACCACGACGCCATCATACCCCACCGCCAAGTGTTTTTTCATTTGATCGGTATTCTCAATGCCACCCCCCGCGAGACAAATAATGGGACCTCCACTACCAGGAAACATTCCGGCCAATTGAATGGCTTGTTTGGGATAATATGTTTGCGAGACTCGATCATAATTGGTGACGAGAATGGTACATGCCAGTGCATCGAGTGCCCGTTGCACTTCATTGCGCGTGTGACATTCGACAATGGTCTCCAACCCCATGGTGGTGGCGAGATCCAAAAAGTTATCCAACGCCGGTCCCAGTACCGATGCCATTAATACCACCCCATCGGCTCCCGCTTCCTTGGCGAGTCCCAACTGGATTTCATCCACGACGATATCCTTCATGACGACGGGGACAGTCTTGGAGACGCGTCGCACCGCTCGAACGGCCGATTTGAGTTCGGCCAAATCTCCTCCGTATGCCGGATAATCGGTATTGACAAAGACAACATCGGCTCCCAATTGGACCATGGCCGCAGCCACCATGCCGGCATCGTCAAAATTGCAAAAGACTTCTCCTGGCTGTCCAGAAAGCGATTTGCGTTTGATATCAACAATAAAACTGGCGCGTCGCATGCCCATATCGGCCATGCCCACATCCAGTAGTTTTTGGTCTCGTTCTTCCTGTTCGGGAGATTTGGGTTCGGCGGTAGGATTGGCGGGACTACTGGGATCGTCGTAGACGCGGCGCAGTGCTTTGGCCAATCGCATCGGTGAAGCGGACTGTTGCCCATATCCCATGGCCATGTTGACGGGATCGGTGGTGGATGTGTGCTGCGATTTGACTTGTTTCATTTCGTATTCTTTGCGATGGACGGCCGCAAACAAATCTTCGGGTCGGCCACGAGAGGAGTGGAGTGATGACGACGACGACGATGTAGTAGTAGTACGGCCAATGGAAGCCGGTATTCTCATGGTGTTGGGAAAGGCGGCTATCATCGTCACTTGGAGATAAAAGATACACAGCAAAACTCGCTGCCATCGTGTCATTCCATTTCTGCTGCTGTTGCTGCTGCTGATTGTCATCATTGTTCTGCTTGAGAGCTACTAGCTAGCTAGAGAGCTATTCAACCAAAGCAAAGCAACAAAAATGTTTGAGAGAGGGATGAGAAAAAGCAAACTGTTGGGTGACGGGTGGTGGCAGTTCAGTCGTTGAAAATTGGACCTTTTGGGCCTCTTCCTTCACTCATCGCGCACCTTCTATCGGTACCGATATCTCAAGGAAGAGGCTGCTGCCAGCTTTGCAAGTCCTGACCTCTGAGTTTCTACCCTATCGCAATCATATATATCTGAAGACAAACCTGCATCGTTAGTCCTTTGCGTGAGAGCTTCTTTCCTCACCATGTCCAATGCCACAAAGTCCGCTAGCCTGGCATCCGAGTTTTTGTCTCGGCTGAAACAACAGGTACCTCCCTTTGTGGAGACCATTGTCACAAGTCTCGCCAAGACGTACCAACTGGATGTGTCACGCTATCCTGCTGATCACGTGTGTTATCGAACCGAAAACATGGCCGAGTATGCCGAGTTGACGGCGGCTTTGCGGCAACAGGACAGTCAATGCATCCTCCTGATCGAATCGGAAATTGGAAATCGACCCATTGCAACCTTTTGGCTTCAGGAAGGAATCCGAGTGTCATCATTAGACCGCATCATTCACGTTTTGGAAATTCCAGCACCCAAACGAGGGCGTGCCTACCCGCGAGGATTGGAACATGTCGAATTTGTCATTCATAATAATTCGACAACGACAACACGGAGTGACCAATATCCGTCTCCCGTCAACGGTGCACACCATCAAGCCGCCTTTGACGACCTAATGCGACAACGTCCCAATGTACCATGGGACACTCGAGCCAGAAACAAGGAAATCAATCCCGATATCAGCTTGAAACTAGAACTGCAGCTGCAAAATTCCCCTACATGTACTAAGAGTGATGCAAAACAGTGCTCTGTCAAGTTTCATCTGGTCCCACTCGACAAGGTTATTGAGTTTGAAACAATGACAGGAAAAGTCGACCATAAAAGTTGAGGCGGGCGCGTCACACGCCAATTGCACAGAGATCAAGCATGGATTTTTTGTGCGTCTGTCGATGTACCAACCAAGAAGGATCACGTGATTCTCTGCCGAGCCAATGCCGGTGGAATATCGATTCAATTCCGCTCGCCAATGACAAGTTAGAATAGACCGATTGCAGTGCGTTTGAGTGATTTCAGGTTTGTTTCCAGGCTCAGCCCCAGACGACTACATCACCCATCGCAGCTGGCTCGAGCAACTCCTCTGCACACCTCTGCTACCCGTCGTCGGTACAGCTATGATAGAATCCAAGGATCCTCTTTTTACAAAATATATTTCATGCGAGTATCTATGCATTATCACTACTAGTACTGTATTGTGGTCATAGCGTCGATAAGCAGCTCGAGCGTCGAAGTCTTTTTTACTGACGAGGCAGTATGCTGAATGAAACCAGATCGTTGGTTCATCAAATCCACATTCCTTCGTGACACGCCTCTTTTCGTCTTCTCAATCGCATTCCTTTCCGATTCATTCTCTTTTCCTGGCTAGACGACTTTTTGTTTTTTGTCAACCAATTCTGTAATGAGCAGAAAGACCATGCCAATGATCAACAGGGAACTCAAAAAGTGCATTCCCAAATGAGTGCCGAGGCAAAAACCAGCTCCAAAAGTCAAGAATGTCGCAGAAAATTCCCTCATGATGATGATGTGGGTGATTGTGCTTGTCTTGTTGCTTTTCTTCTTCGGCTTGGTTAGTTTATTGATTATGGGCTCTTCGAGGTGCGCGACGTGAGCTTCGGGAGAACGAAACGGAAACGGAATGCTGTGATCTTGACCACTCCCGAGTTTGACTCCCACCCAACTTTGGCGTGAGGAAGCTGCGGTAAAACAAATCCTCGTAAATTATTATTAGTTTAACCTAATATTACCGCAACTACCCTTCTTATTCTTTCGGGAGTGGAATGAAAATTTTGATACCGATTGCAACGGAAAGGCCCGTACTATTAATATTAACCCTAAGCCCCGTCCACCTCTTTTGAGAAACCCAGCAATAAAAGGACACCGGAGGTGTAAGAGATATACCAGGCGAGCTGAACAAAAAGATGGGCCGGCATAGTAATATTGTTGAAGTTTGGCTGAAGGTAGTGTCATTAGATTTTTCCGAAGACGTGACGCTAGAATGGTTGAACAAGCAGCTGGAGACGGCGGAGGAACGGTTGGATCAACGCGTCAAGAGTTTGGAGTCGAAAGAAGAGGACAACGACGAAATAGAAGACAACGATGATGATGATGCGGGCCAAGAGCACAAGGGTTCTCCCATGGATCGATTGCACGAACTCAACGACAAAGTGGCAGCCTTGGAATTGGCGCAACAAGTGTCGGAATGGGCCGAAAAGACGGACGACCGACCAGAGTCGTTTGTACTGGCGGCGCAGAATGTCATTGACTTGGCCAATATTCTGTGCCAACACGAGGATAGTCAATCCTCCTTGTATCGCAATCTATACGATCGAGAATACCAGCCACTCCATGCCCATGTCCGCAGTCATTTGATCCTGCAACTACGCAACATGCTTCTCAAGGCTGGCTATCCCAGTGCCGAAGGTTGTGGCGCGCTGCTTACTAACGATGCATTGGGACAAGTCTGTCAAGCACTGACGCAACTACAAGCCACCAACTTTAAATTGGCCAATCATACTCATAAAACCAGTGTCTCGGCCAACTCTACGCCGTGGTCATCGGGAGAAACCTGCGATGTCTTGGTGGAGTTCTTTCGACCCATTGTCGAACGAGTCCGATTTCATTTTGTCGAGTTTCATGCCGACCGACCCACATCCAGCAAAATGGAACGATTGCCCGAAATTCTCTTGACGTATTTGCAAGAACATGTCATTGAAGGAAAATCTACTACTGGAAACAACAACAACAATTCATCGTCTCCCTGGGAACTGGTCACGCTGGGATTGGCTCCGTTTGTCACGGAAGAAATGCCCTCGTTGTTTCTCAATGAGCTCGTGGGGCTGGCACAATATGTATTAGGACCCGAGCGCAACTTTTTTAGAGATCATCGTATTGCCGGACGCGAGTCCAATCCCATGCTGTTGTGCAATGCCATTGAACAATTATTGCAATTCGATGATGCCCTACGCAATCTCCTGCCCATGGGACAATCGGATCGTCTGGTGAGACTGATGGATATATTTGTGGCAGGAGACGAAGAATTGTTGGGATGGTGGCTGATTCGAGAAAAGGAAATGGTGTTTGCGACCTTGTTTGACGACAGCAGCAAGAACGACGATGATGATGAGCATGCTACCAAACTGGCTGCCTTGGTCAAGTCGCGGATATCACCCCGTGCCGAACTCTTTTGTGCCTTGATTCGTTCGGTGCAAGTCAAAGCGTCCGTCTTTTCCTTTTCGGGGCCATATCTCAATGCGGTAGCGGTGCCACTCTGCATGCAATTCCTCGATGCCGTCCACGAATCCTCCACGGATCTAAAGAAAGCGTTAACCAGTCCATCGACGCGACTGCAATTTCTAGCCGACGACAAGTTTCTCGCCAAGATTTTGGAAGATTGGATGGCAGTCATCAATGGGACACGCTTGGCCGCTGCCATTCTGACGCGAGACAACCCATGGGCGCAACAGAGCATGGCACCCAGTGCCAATTCAAGTGTCAATGACCTCGCTCGATTTGGAAGGTCTCTGGAGCAACTCCAGAACGTGCTGGTGGAAGAGTTTGCCTTGACATTTGTAGAAACGTTTCTCATGGAACGAAGAAAATTGGCTGCTTATCTGATGGGGTGCTCGCATTTCCTCTCGCACTCCATGGAGGAGGACGATGAGGAGGAGGAAGATGACGGGGATATCTCGTTTATTTTGAAACCAACTCTGAATGCCATGTCGATCTTTCTGCAATTGTGCAGTGACTGTGACCGAGAGGATGGTGACGAGGACGAGGGGCAAAACTTTGCCTCGTTCTTTGCACCTCGTGTCATGCGGGCTAAAGTGATTCCGATGATTGCCAACAAATTTCTCGAGGTGGCGCTGGATTGGCAGGGGCTCTCAGTAGGCATTATTCTACCCGAGGGCGCCGTGATCTTTGAGCGGGATGTACTGGCGTTGTTTGAGGACCTGTCCTCGTGGAAGGAGGTGGAGCGACTCTTGGACGTTGCAAAGCTGATGAACATGCACCTAAAGCCGCTGGAAGGATTGCATAGTGCTCTCATGGGTTTGATTGGCGGTCCCGAGGACCCAACTAGGCCATGGCTACTACACAGCCATCAATTCACTCAAGATGCTGCCTTGTTCGATCAGGCTATTTGTATGCTCCGTGCCAAGGGCTTCTCATTGGACCTGGAGGATGCTCTGTCTGTGCTGAACCGTCGAAAGGACCTCATGGAGCACTTGCGAAAGGCGGAGTGGCTAGCTACAGTAGATTAAGAGTTTCCAGCTAAGTATCAGATTCGTTGGTCTGGAACCTATGCCGGCTTTGTGCGTATCAGGTACAACAAACATCAAGCGTGGAGCCAATCAATGCCTAATGCCTACTCAGCAGCTGGATTAGTCTACTTTTTGCCTCGCTTCTTTTTCTTTTTCTTCTTCTTTTTGTCCTTCTTGCCACTGTCGTCCTCGCCGTCAGCTTCCTCTGTCTCCTCCTCATTTCCCTCCGCCTTGTCTGCTTTCTTATCCACGTTCATCGCATCTTTCTCCAAATCGTCAATCAGCGCCTTTATTCTGTCAAAAGAGTTCTTGGTGCCTTGGTTCTGTTGCAACTTGGCATCCATACCATCCAGCGCTTTTGTCAGATTATCAAGAGCTGACATTTTGCACGAAGACGACTTGGCGTAGTCGAGGACCTTTTCGGTTGCTTTCAGCACATCCTTCACTCTTTTTGCTGTTTGCATGTCCTCGCTCTCTGTCAGAGAGTTGCAGATGGGGGCAATAACTTCCGAAGCAGACTCCCGCATCTTTTTCAAGGCAAGGGCGTCCAGTTCTGACGACTGAGGGTTTAGCTTGGGATTGAACAAGATAGAGAGAAGACGAAAGCATTCACATCGCAAAAAAGGAGATCGAGCAACTGAAATCGCGGAAACCAAAGATGGAACGAGGACCATTTGCGAGACGCTAAGAAAAAGGAGGATGTCAGCAAAAAACGAGCAACCATCGTTCAAAAAGATTTCAAAGAAGTGTCTCACCTCGGGCAATGGCCGATCAGATCGTCGAAGAGTGATACTTGCAAATGGCTTGTCCTCTTTGTGGACCATTCTTCCACTGCAGAAGCATACACCGAGGCGACCTTCATGACGCCATCTGTGTCTGGGGCCGCCTTCACGATCATCGCCAGGCCTGCGCTGCAACAAGACCTCTGATCCTTGCTGCTACTTGCTCGCACCATATCCAAAACAGAAGCCGCCAAAGAGCTGCAGCAGTCAACAATATCGACAGATTCGCTCGCAGGAATGCCAGATAGCTTCAATTTGAACAGCTTCGTCTTTAAAATGGATGACAACCGATCTAGCATTGCTTTCTTGATGCTGCTATCCTTTGCCTTACCGGCTGAGCTCGACAGCGACTTTTCCATGTGACTTCGGTAAGTCAACATCGGAAGCAACATCTGCAAAATAACATCGCTGCGAAACAACGGCGCCCAGCTCTCCGATTTGCTCAGCAAAGTCTCGAGAAGGAGAGTGCAACGAATTTGCTTTTCGATTTCAAGGCGCTCACGCGCTTGTCGACTTGCTTTTCGAGCTTCCTGCTTGACCTTAATCAACATCGCAAGCGCTGCATCTGCTCCTGCGTGATGTTCCAGCTCGCCCATGTCGATTCCAGCGTCACTGTCGTCCTCCAGCAAGGAAGTGAGCCTCTCTTGGTTGATTTCTTCATCGTCGTTGTCGGCATCATCCCCATCCGGGCGGTCCTCTTTGTCGCCATCGTCATCGGAGTCGTTGTCGTCGTCTTCGTCCTCCCCGTCAAGGATTTTCCCAACTTTTGAAAAGTCTCCAAGCTCATTGTCAGAGTCGTCTTCATCCTCCATCTCTTCGTCGCTGTCATTTCCTTCCTCTTCTTCTTCCTCGTTTTCTGCGGCTATCTTTCCGCCCTGGTCAGCACCAATACTAGTCAGAAGCACTGTAACAGTGTCCGAATCCAATAGATTGCGATCCGCCGTGGCCGACACTGAAAGAACGCCCATCCAAGCAAATTTCACAGCTTCTCGCAAAAGTTTTGACGATGCTCCTCGGCCAGGATTTCCGCCCGAAAGTCTGCTGGAGAGAACACCCATGCACACCTCAGCAAATCCTGTCAAAGGGTTCCCATCTGCGTCTTCGATGCTCTCGAGAATCAACGGAGCAACCTCCCCGATCTCTTCTATCGCATCGAGGATGTCTGCGCTGTCGTCGTCATCTTCCGTTGTAATTTCATCTTCGTCCATCAAATCATCGGGCTTCCCACAACCAAGCAGATGCAAGAAAAGCGTCGAGGCGAGCGCTGCGCAGCCTGTGGCACACCGTTTCCTGGCTCTGAGTTTTGCATCTGTATCTGTTTCAGAGGCCGAAGAGATCACTTGCGCCATTTTTTGAAGCTCAGAAACTACGTCAGCAGGGCTCTTTGCCTCGTCATCATCCTCGTCTTTGTTGCTGTCAATAGCCGGGAACAACGGTTTGGCTCCACCAGATTCCAGAGTTTTCCATCCATTGCACATTCCTTCAACAATTTCAAGAAGCGTAGAATCCTTTGCTGTGGATCCACGCCCAGAATGCATCGAAGCATGAACGTATTCTGCCAAGAGGGAGTAGAACCTTTCAGACAATATCGAGCGAACCGGATACGACAGGGGAGAATCTTGTTCCTTTCGCAGCTGATTGAACTGTTTGGCGACTTCGACTATGAAGTGTTTCGCTTCGTTTGACTTTGCTTTGCTCTTCTTTGACTTTTTGGGTGTCTTGTGGGTGAACCCCTGGCAGTCAAAGAACGCCCCGGCCATCAAGAATCCAACCACACCTTCAACTGTTTTCAACGCAAACTTTGCAGCTTCCGATGTTGTTTCCGTCGATTCATCGTTTGATGCAAGCGTAAGAAGCTTCTTTGCGCAGTGGTATAGCGAGTCAATGTATCCAAGCAATTCTCCTCCGGATTCGCTCGACGACAACATTTGTGTTTTGAGGAAATCAAGATAGCTCGTTACTGCATCCATTTGAGCCTCGCCAAACTCTTCTCCATCGCCACCGCTCAAGCCCACAAGATCGGATGTCGTTGTCGTCTTTGTCAAGCTGTCAAACCTGGGCTCGCACTGTACAAAGACTTTTGCGAGCCTCAGACGTCGATTCATCCCCGTGTCTTGGCTCAGTGCATCTACGATGGATCCCAGAATCTGCAGCGCCAACGGCTTGAGCGTGTGCGCCTTTTTGGAACTTCCGCCACCCGCACAAAGGACGTCCAAAAACAACCGCCGAATCATCACGGGAGACAAAATCCGCTCCAAATCTTCCACTTCGAGCTGCAGCTGTGTCGGTCCCGTAATGGACGAGTTGAATGGAACACCAAACATGTTTCGCACCAAACACAATGCCAATGCTCGCTTTTCGTGAGTTGTCTTTGCCGCTGGTCCCTCGCTGGGATCCACTCTCAGCAAACCCTCCAGTATGACACGTTGCACCAAGGAGTCCATGATATCGCGGGCGCTGTCACTACTAATGATGAGAGGATCCTTACGAAGCTCTCGAACCACCACAGCTCCCTTCTGCTTGGTCCGTTCCGTCAGGAACAACCAAAGAGAATCCCAGACGAGGTGGGTTCGAGGCAGCGTGACGGATGACGTCTCGACCAGAGCCTTGGAGATTGTTGACATGGTTTCGGATGTGATGACTGGCTCATCCAGAGGAGCTGGCAACCCGTTGGGGTGATCTCCCGCATGTGCCTGGATCGTTGCGATAATGGCAATCTTTTCGGCTTCAAGCTGTGTTACATCAAAGTCGTCGTCGCCGACAACAAGTTTTGGAATGACTACCTGTTCCACGAGATGAACGGCAACGGCCTTTCCCTCCGAGTCTGCGTAGAATGTTCTTAGAATGGTCCCAATGGCATGGGCAGCAGGTTCTCGCATCCATTTCTTGTCATTGTACAACTGCACCAGATCAGTCACAAATCCTGTGGCTACCTCTGTGATATTCTCCTGATCCTGATTATTACTTGAAAGTAGAATTCCACTTCTGGCCACACTCAGGATACCAAACAAGCGACCAAACTGATAATCACGTTCTTCCGAACCCTTCTTTTTGCCCTGGGTAGCCGAGGGATCTGTGGCTTTCAAAAGACGTTCACGTACATAGTCCAGAATGGAACTGTCGGTTGTTGCAGTGTCATCTTGCTCTTTGATTTCGTCCAATTGTCCTCCTTCCAAGGAGATTTTGAGAAAACTGGCGAGAGCGGAAGCATTGCCCTGGCGAGAAGCGGCTCTGCCAGAACACAATCCATTCAGCAATCGTCGAAGAGCATAGGTAGCATCCTTGGCATTTGCCTGGGGCCCAATGAGGCAGTGATGAAGCAGAGCATTGGCAGCCTGAGCACGCTCCACTGGGTTGGAGGAGGAAAGACCATAAAAAGTATCCATGAATGAGTTATCTTCCACAGCCTCTCGTTCTTCCTCTTCTTCGTCCTCTTCCTCTTCCACCATCACGGCGTCGTCGCTGTCCTCATCGGCTACCTCGATCTTTTCCTCGCCATCCACATCCACCATCTCAGAATCGTCATCTTCTTGGTTATCCCCTGGAACGGTGGGAGACTTGCGCTTCTTCATCATGGTCCACAGACTGATGAGCAAGGACTACTTTAGTAGAAACAACTTCCCACAGTGTGGTATGAGCTACGACGACACTCAGAACAAACGTGTGGCTTCATTTATTTTTTCTTCGCGATCAGAATTCAAAATCTGCATCCAAGAATTGTTGGTCCTCGCGCGTCAAAACGCGTGGAAGCATGACTGAATACCTCATAAGATCACAGAGCTGCAAAAGACGAAAGCTGGAAAGCTAAATGCGAAAGAAGGCAGAAAGTCTTGTTGTCCTACTTACTAGTTGATGTATGAACTTCGCGGTGCCGTAAGAGAGGGTTTAGAGTAGGGAAGAAATCTATGGAAGGCAGCAAGGGGCCAGGCTTAGGCAAAGTAGAGGCATAATTCAGGACTAGGTTCCATGGGATCAGGGGCCAAAAATTGAGGACCAACATAGGGGCCAAAGGGCTTGACTTTACGGGGTCCATCTGTACAGCTGTACCAATATCTACACAGCACTTACTTGTTGCTCTGCAAAGAAAGATATCAGCATGCGAAACAACCTAGCTAGCTAGTCAGTCAATTATCTATTGCTTCCAAACAGGTGTCGCAACCTTGGTGAAAACAGTCGCAACATCCTCAGGACTGGCACCAGTAACAGCCGACAAGAACTCTGTTCGGATTGGGATGCCAGTGATTCCCTCCAGGGCAGGAACCAGGAGCAGAAACGCCAAACCAGGCAACAAAATATCTCCAAAAGGTCTGGTGGCACCAATCACATAACTAGCTTGCATAGTTGAATCCGTGGCTTTGGACGCTTCATTGGGTCGAATGGCCAACAAACCAGCATTGCGGGTAACCATGGCTTTGGCTTCTTCTTCCCCAAAAATCGCGCTGTACTCCTTGAGAGAAGGTGCAAATTGAGTGCGATCAAATGTCAGGCAGACTGGCAGAGATTGGGTCATGGCCAGGGCGCTTTCATCTCCATAGAGTCGTGCCAGTTCGGCAAAGGTGGCCCTGGCTTCCTTCTCGCCAATGTCGCTCAAACGCTTTCCTCTTTTTTCACCCGGTTTGTTCACCTTGTATTTGGTTCCATCGATATCTGTGGTGGGGACTCCGGCATTCAAAAAGGCAGTGACCATTGGAGATGTCTCAATTGGCTTCCTATCAAAGGGGAATTTTTTGGCAAAGGCAGCAATGGCTTCATCGGCGATTTGGGACTTGGCGGCGGCAGCTGCCGATCCACCCTTTTGGGGGAGAAAGGCACTCGCCGTAGAGGCAAACAACGCAAGAACAAGGGCAGCAACGGTCTTCATACTTGAATTATTTGAGGTCCAAAGTTGATTTGAGCCGTAGTTGCATGTTGGGGTACCATACTTGACTACAGCCATACCAGCTGTGTGGTTCCTTGGCAAAGCATTCGTCTTCGACGTGTTGATTTTCGTACGTACCATTTTTCTCCATTTTGTGAGCGGATCGAGTTGTTGTCTGGAAAGGATGTTATTGAATAAATCTCTTGAGTACCGGATTTCCAGAAAACAGATTTAAGATCACAAAGACGTTGTTTGATCACCTTTTTTTTGGACAGTAGTCTAGTCTGGAACTTGCTCTCCCTCCTTTGAAGTACATGTGCCGGTACAAGGAACCAAGCGAGCGAAAGGTACACCATGAACCATGGTACGATGCAAAATGCAACCAGCACCGTACTGCATCCTCATTACCAAAAAATAGCGGAGCATGGAGACCGACAAAGTATCCCTTTGAGATCCATTTGCAGGCCTAGCAATTAAATCTACCGTTATAATGTTGGATATCTCCGTGGAAGTACTTTCGGGACCATCACATACCACTGCAACATCTACTAGTATCTTCACTCCAGGACCAAACCTCAGCCCCACCAGCTGCCACAACCAATTCCCACACTGAACCAGCCAACTCTGGATTGAATCCAGGTCCCACGCACCAGAATTTAGTACGATTAGTCCCAGGGGCCCGGTAGCGGAAGCACCCACAGGTCCCACCCACTCTTATTGAGGAGGACCATTCGAAGGTAGCGGTATACCAACTTATCGCGCCACGACCCATTCGTTGGGTCTTCTTCGTCCCACGCTTGTCAATTCGGGGTGAGTAACTGGTACCATACCCAAGTAGCAAGTGCATGCCTACCGACAGCAGCTAGCTAGCTCTATGGAAACCGTGAACAGAAAACGTCAAACTACCAGCCAAATCCGGGAGGACTTCGATCTGCCGTGCTTTTAAAAATGGAGTTTTTTAGCTACTAGTCTACCTGGTACTACAGTCATACATGCATAGCCATCCAGATTGAATGCACTGTTCGGTGAGTGTTCGGAGAGTTCAAAGGAACGAAGCACGCTTCCAACCCGCCGGGATGTGCCGATTAGCACTGAAAAAGTGACCTACCCACGGCCAAATCGAGAAGCAGTGCATGCCAACTTTGTGTGACCAATTTACTTAGACACGTGCAACAATAATTACACTGTACAGCACATAATTGGCTACAAAGAAGCACGTGTTGTCAAGCTTGAGAAGTGCCTTTCAGCCTTGACGTGTGCATCTGCCACTGCCGTTGTTGCTGCTCTCTAACGGTGATACTAGCTAGCTAGTGCATGTAGTCGTAATGTTGAAGCAGCTGTGAAGCAAATCAAAATCCAAAAGGAGCTTTGATGGCAGACAGGTTCTCTCGACCATACCGGTACGCCTTTTCTCGGCCCTACTCCTCTTGCACTAGCTAGCTATTAGCTGGAAGCAGACAGTACTGGTACCTTTATCCTGCTAGTACCTTTCCGGCTCCGTTCTCGTCCAGCATCCATCCTGAATCCTGATACCCCCAATCATTTGGGCAGGTATCCCACCAACAAACCAACCTTGAGCTGAAGGTAGCTTCTGATCTTTTCACTTTGGTATTTAGACAAGAGAAATGGGAGGAGGAAACGAAGATGAAGGCGGCTTTAGTGGGTATATGATCAAGACAGTGGATCTTGGACCGATCCTGTTCTGTGTATGCCTGTTGGCTCTGTTTGTGGCCTATGGGATAGTCTTGCCCCTTCTGGTCTTTCTGGGCGAACGACGAGACGCCCTCCAACATGCTCACGAGACTACCGAATTCTTTAGCGAAGATTCGTCCGAGGATCTACCACGACGAAAGAAACACGACGATGATAATGACAGCAAGAAGAGCCCGAATCAACAGCAACGGGTACTACACGGCAACCAGAATGCAGACGAAGAGGCCTCGGTGGATTCGAGGAGTTCGCAACAATCCACTTCCACTCATAGCAGTGCCCTGGGGAGCGCCGTAGCTGCCATTTTGGACCATCCACCCCATTACAAATCCAAAACGACACGAAGAAGACGTCGCAACAGAGAACGGGAAATCCTCAAGGCCCAATGGACTGCTGGAGAGTCTCAAGCCTTTCAAATGAAAACCATGGGTGCCAGCACTCCCGAAACCTTGGCACTCTTGCAAGCCATACACCCCGGAGGCATTACGGCGCCAGCAGTCGTACCCGAACCTGAAGAATGCACTGTTCCTTCGGTCAAAGATGCCACGCCAACAACACCGCCACCCAAAAAGTATGCCGAAGACTATCCCACCATGGGAGCCATGGACAAGATGGCCTTGATATCGTCCTATGATATTGAAACGAAGCGCATCGTTCGTCTCTCCACGCCGTTTTGTGTACAGGCACTCATCACGGGTCTCACAGATATATTGACCGTGGCAGTGGTGGGGAAACTCGTGGGCACACGAGAAGTTTCGGCGTTTGTCGTTGTGACAATGTGGGTGGAACTCAGCAGTGAATTTGTTGGAGGGCTTCACGAAGCATTGGCCACTCTCTGTAGTCAAGCCATTGGAGCCCGTAACAAGGAGTTGGCGGGGAGTTATGTACAGATTGTTGGTACGTTTCTGTTTCTCTGGCTCTTGTTGTTGTAAAAACAAACTCATCTCACGAATTGCTCGGATTCTTTAGTGATACTGTATACTCTTTTTTTCATTCCATTTGCCATCCTTTGGGTGTTCTACATGGATGCCGTACTTAGATGGCATGGCCTCGACGAAGAAACTGTCCGGATTGGAACGCAGTACACATACATCCTCGTCGTGGACCTCCTCATTGATGGACTTGGAGAAGCCATCCATGGACTACTGGATGTGGCTGGGTTTGAGAAATACAGCACCTTGATCGGGGCTACGGAAGAGATTCTATCTCTTGTGATCATTTTCATCTGGGCGCTGGTGGGAAACCCAGATTTGAACACTGTAGGATTGGTACGTTCGGTGCCGTCTCCCCGCAAAAACCTGCAACCTGGACCAAAATTCTCACAAGCATCAACGTCCATTTCCGTCTGCAGATCCAGTTTGGACTGGGTGTCGCCTTTTTGCTGTTGAATTGCGTCATCATTCGCTGGAGAGGTTGGTTCAAGGCCTTTTACAAAGGCATGTTTGGATCCGTGGATTGTTGAACAAGGGTGGGTTGGT